AACTTTGTCGCAAAGTAACATTGTTGCCTTTTTTAATTTCGGTTCCTTAGTTAAATACAGTATTAAATATACATTGAACCCGGAGAAAATGGAACTTTGTAAATGTTATCTTCATGAAAAGTCGTGGTGAGGTGGTTAAATCAGATTTAATTACCTCAGCCTCTTATTGACCTAATCAACCCAACATTGCTGCCTTTCTGATTCATCTATTCAAGTTGATCTCCTTATCCAATTTATATTAAATAAAGGAAAGACATTTTGTGATTTTATGAGGAAAATATTTGACGAAAACCATTACTCTTTTAGCTTCTTAAAACTCGTCAGGTGATAGTAAATAGATTTGGAAAAGACGTACAAATCTTTTCATCTTATTTTGTTTAACTTTATGTTATTTATTGGTGCATAATCAAAAAATGATTTGTGTGAATCACCCAGCACATTTTATTTGAAGAAGAAAATAAGTTTCTACTTTTTATTTAATTCTCACTTATTTTACAACTTTTTATACAAAACGACTGAAAATAAACAAAACAAGCGGGGAATCAAAATAATGTAAACGATGATTTTAAGACAATTTATTGCGTTCAGTGAGGGTTTTCTGCAACTTTACTATTTTCAATATCCGGTTGGCTGGCTCTATCTGTTAGAAGTTCTTCAGCAACTCGCAACATTGTACTGTTGTTTCGTCTACTGTGTCTTTTTACATGCTTGTAGTATGAGGTACTAAACTGGCTAAAATTATTAGAACAATTGTCGTTGGTTTCTTGAAGAAGAATTACCCATTAATTACTTCTGTTCTTGTTATATGTTAGTGCTGCTGAAGATGGGCCAGAAACGACAAAAAATAAATAAGCACATCACCACGGTTTTCTTCGTTTTTATTCAAATCCACTTATTCTATATTGCGGACCGTGGATAGCACAACAAAATGATTATTTCGTTGAGTGCTGAGTTGGTGATCCTGTGGCTCGAACTTCTGTGTTCATCATGATTTAATTATTCTCGCTGGTTTTCTATGTCACTCGTTCTTCAGTAACTCGCAATATTCGGTGTTTTGTCTGCTGTGTCCTTTTACAAGCTCGAAGTATGCCAGACTAGATAGGTCGCTTACTAGAAAAGGTCGAAAAATGCAACAGAATAACAACTAACTTCTACATTGGCCAAGGAAAGCCCAATGAGGACACTTATTGGCCCTGAACCCTTTTATGACTTACCAAATTGCCAAAAACGCCGATCCATTAGAAAATGGATTAATCCTCCCCTCAATAGGAATGTAGCCCAGGACATAGGCATGCGAAAAAATTTATAAATTTATAAATCGCAAAAACTAACAGCTGAACTACTAAATCTAGGACGTGCTAGGACTACAAAAATAGTTGGACTGCTATCTCCGGGGATGTGTGTAAGAAGAAACAAGTCTGCCCAGATCCAAGTCCAAGAAGAAGAAGAAACAGCAAACTTGTCCTATGTTGGTGCGAAGGACGATGTAGGCTGAGATTCCTAATCCTGGAGGAAGAAAAGCCAGGGCCTGAAGGTTACACATGGGAGCCCTGGAAAAAACTTTGGGGTCTGTTAAAAAGTCTCAAGCTCAAGCTCAGCTCTAGATAAAAAAAATGAGTTGCACAATAGACCAATACTGGTCGCGGTGCACAGGCCGTAAAGAGGCCGTCTCCTATATAGTCTAATCTAATCTAATTCTAAATTATTCTTAGCAATCAACCAAATTGCAAAGAGCAAGAGGATTATAAAATATTTGCACTGAAACCCACTGTCTGAAACATGCCTTCACTTAATAAAAATTATTGAAAAAAAGTCGTTGGTTTTGTGTGGTATTTAGCAGGATTTTGCCCATTTGGTACTTATTTCTGATCTGTTAATAGCCCAAAATGTATAAAAAATAAAAATACCCAGGTTTTCTTGGTTCCTTCATCTATGTTGTGAAAAGAAGATAACATAACAAAATGAATTATGAATGATGAGCTTGATGGTCATTGTGATTTATTTAGTCTCATTAGTTTTGCCTGTCAGACATCCTTCAACATCTTGCAATATTCTGTGCTTGGTTTGTGTTTTTGTTTGTTGTGTGTTTTTATAAATATGTGCATTGACTGACCAAACTTACGGCTCATCACAGACGATGGAGTAATGCAGCAGAATAACATCCACCTTCTTCAGTTTTATTAGTGATGAGTAAAGAAGTAAAGAAAGTGATTATTGTAAAATATCTTGTTGATGTCTGATAGGTGACATTGTAGCTTAAGATGTAGATTAACGTGCTTTGTATTGTCCCTGGTTTTGCCTGACAGACCAAAAAATGTAAGTAGAGCAAGAAGAAAATGATCGGAAACCACCTAATTATTTAGTTACATGATACAACTTTTTAGACATTACCATCCCATCATTTTTCTTTCGTCTTTTTGGTCAATTACTAATCGAATAACACCTTTTGTCGTACTTTATTTTACAAAAGCAGGTTAGCATTAAACTATCACATGTCTAAGTATGTAATGCGTTTTAATGGGGTCGGATGTTAGTCGGCTCGTTGCTTTTCGCAATCATGCAAATACCACCGCCGAAGTGTATCCGAGTTTAAGTAACAGAGGGAGAAGTGGAGACGTGCCTTATCTGACTGATCTACTGCCGCATTAGCCACTCGTCTTCGTCGTCGAATGGCTCGAATCTTCAGAGTTAACGACATTGAAAACATTTCTCCCGTGAGACCCGAGCCCTACCCACGGAGTGGCTTATGCATATCATTTCTATTTAGGGTAAACTTCCTGGGAAACCGCTAATGGCCCATGCCAAGAACTGAAGTGGTGCCAAGTCGTCTTTAACCCCCTTATAACTGGGGTGAAGATTAGGTTTCAGAATGGCGAACTCCCTATTTTGTTTATTTGTGTTGCTTGGAAAATTTAACATTTTAAAAAATACATATTTTGGAGTGGAGGAGTTTGATTTGTTGGGCATATTGTTTATCGCGTTTGTTTACTGGTTTATTATTTTGTTTGCTATTGGAAATACTGTCTGTTAAGGATAGGTTTGAAAGAGTTACCAAATATGCCAAAAGCGAAAGAAAAGAATAAGAAGAACTGAATTTTGCATTTGTTAAGTACGTCATTAAGAGGTATGATAAACAAAGTATGACTAAAATCAAACATCGCAAAATTGTCCAAGAATACAAAAAGAAATATAAAAAGGGGTTCTTAAAGATCTTATAAAAAGCTCCTGGGCTTGATCTGACATAGTCAATTTATCTTAAGGAATCCAGGCTAGTCAAATAATTATTTAAAAAATTTTTAAATGCGGAAAGACTTCATGGTAAAAGCTGACGTAAAAAGTCATTCACGAATAAATCGTCATAGCCTTGTTCCTGCCAGAAATTACATATGCAAAACGATAAAGTTTTTGAGGAAAACGTATTCAATACAAAAGCAGGTTCAAAGTGAAAGGATCAGACGATAGACAATCTGGCCAAGGCGAAAAATTTAAGTGCTTCAGTTAGGTACGCTTGTGGGCTCATAATGGTTTGCTTTTCCCCGTTGTATGGGGAAATTGGTTCGGATCGTTGGCAATACTTGCGTGTAACTGTTGCAAAAATAAGAATCCATTTATTTTATAGCTACAAAAGGATCAACACACTACATAAGAGTGGCTAACATTAACGTTACTAGAGGCAATCTACCAAAGTCGCCGTACTTTATGGTACCACCTAGACCAAAAGTAAGAAATTATAAAATATTAGGTAGAGACCAAAAAGTAAGAAAACCTAAAATACGAGGTAGAGGCAAAAAATTAAGGAAACATATAATACTAATGAGAGACCAAAATGCAAAAAAACAAAAAAAACAAATGCTAGAAAGAACCAAAAGCAAGGAAACATAAAAGGGAGGGATGTAGGTGTAGATGTAAGGTTCGGATTAATCTGGTATAATGCGCCCTTTGAGAGCTGTTGTATCAGTTCTGTACATACAGTAGACAATCGCAAAATTGTGCAAGAATACAAAAAGAAATATAAAAAGGGGTTCTTAATGATCTTATAGAAAGCTCCTGGGCTTGATCTGATATAGTCCATTTATCTTAAGGAATCCAGGCTAGTCAAATAACTATTAAAAAAATTCTTAAAAGCGGAAAGACTTCATTGTAAAAGTTGACGTAAAAAGTCATTCACGAATAAATCAATTGTCATAGACTTGTTCCTGCCAGAAATTACATATGCAAAACGATAAAGTTTTTGAGGAAAATCTGGTATAATGCGCCCTTTGAGAGCTGTTGTATCGGTTCTGTACATATAGTAGACCGAAAAGTTTCAATTAAACATGGAATTTTATTATAAGGTCCAGTTATTAGTGGTTGTATTTCTTCTACGTTTATGCTGTGCTTTTTTCTAAGATAGTATGGATCCATTTACTACAAAATAAGTGCTCTGGGACCCAAGGAGAGCGTAAACTTGTTTTGTGCCCCTAATCAGTTTGGGATGGGTTTGCAATTTAAACACCATTTTCGAGCTAATGATGTTTGAGTTTAAGCTACCTGGCTATCCGATAAGACAAATCTTTTTATATCCTCTATTGATTGATAAGGCTCCCAGCCAAGGTGTCCTTAAGCAAGCCTAGTGTCCTTTTGTTGTTCCTCTCCAAGATTTGGAGGACTGTCCTTTTATAAGCCTATATGCAAATAATCAAACTCTATTCTTATGAAGAGTACATCTATAGGACGTAGGTTTATTAATATATTCAGAACAAAGGTAGGCGAGGTCCTCTGCTTCTGTGATACACAAGAAAGGATTTGGATACTACTCAAGAACTGTGTACTTAAGACCATATCTATTCCTGAATGCAGAATTATATATTTTTGTAACATAAAATGCCCAGTTGGTTGTTATTGATCTAACGTCTAAAGCCCGAGTATCATTTGGAGGTTTAATCTCCAACATAACTCACCTTTCCATAGATATAGAAAAAACGCGTTTTTGTATAGAATATATAATTTAAAACAGTTCGTTTTTATAAATCGTTTATTAATTCATTGTCCGGATAACGTGGTCGAAAATCACGCACTGGTGATACGAGGGAGATTTGACTACGGTGCGGCAGGTGCAGACGCCCGGGTGTTCGACCCTGGGGTTCGGATCAATTATCAGATTGTCCCATTTATGCTTGAAAAGAAGCCCTTTAACAGGATCAACGAGACTCTGAAAAACAACGAGTTTAAAAACAAGACAACGTTAAAGCAAGCATGTTGTTTTCACCTCGATCTGATCCGTGTGATTGGTCCGGCTCGTCTTGTTCTTGCAGTTGAAGAAGCCCAGGTCCGTCTGCATGGGCCAGAGCTTCTTCTTCCCCAAGAAGAAGCCGGTCATGTCAGAGTGGACGAGACGGCTGTTGTAATCTATAAAACCGGCCACCTCGGTCCCACGTTTGTTGCTCACTCTTATGTATATTATTGACTTCATGAAAAAAACGACCAATTTTATTAATACTTAAAGAGAATTATGTCATGTGGTACGCCAGTTACTGTTCAACAACTTAAAGTTTTTAACTTTTTTGTATAAAAATCAGGGATAAGGCTAATTTGAAACAATTGAAAGCATTCAGTTCCTTCATTAATACTTGCAAACTATTAGTAATAATTTACAAGGTTAACAATTATTCCATTTTACGTTTTAGTAGTCAATTGACCAAGTTACTTTTTTCAATTAATTATTCTTTCTATGTAAGGTCTTAGTTGAGATAAAAAAAGTCAGTTTCACGAGCGGGGTTCGAACCCACGACCTTCGTCTGAATACGCCGCTGCTCTACCTTGTGACTTCAATTCTCTCGTGCACCAACTTCCCATCTCAACCTACAACCGTTCGAATTTTCCCTCTTTGTATGTTGTTGTAGGTGTAGATGTTGTAGGTTGAGATGGAGAGTTGGTGTCCGAGAAGATCGAAATCACGATAACTCGAGTTGTAGCGGCGTATTTAGCCGAAGGTCGTTGGTTCGAATCCCGCTGTGACGCTGACTTTTTATTCCGACCAAGACCAAGAAAGAATAATTAATTGAAAGAGTTAACAATTATTATGAACATCTACTCACATTATTAAAACGATCTACTTATCCGTCCATCCTATATCTTTAAGTTAGGTGTACAAAATAGGAACAAATAGATAAAATAATATTAATCGTTTTTAAATAAAAGACAGATATTATGACAGAATCAGCCTGAAAATATACCAAAAGTGAAAGATAAATAGATCAAGATGATCGGAAAGAAGTAAACTCAAAAATTGTGTAATTTTTCATGGGGTCTGCGGGGTCCACCTTTATTGTGGAATTTCTGATCATTTCAGTCGGCCTACCGTCACTGTTTTGGTATGTGTAAAACAGGTCCGCCACTGAACAAGCCGAAAAGCGACTGATGATAACAACAACACAAAACAAGAAGGATTGGCAGAATCATGACAACCTCAAACTTCATATTTCCCAGCCTTCGTTCAAAACTAAACAATTGGTTGTTAATAATGTATTGGAAGGTGGTAAAAATATTTAAATTATGAATGATACATTCAAGATTAATTTATTGAACGATTTTGTTTGGAAAACATTATGTTGCTGTCTTGAAAACCCAATAGTCACCGGAAACAGTTAACCTTATCGATCAAATTTTATACGTGGAAATTGACTTGTTTTGCCCCAAATTCGTTTTTCGAGTTGAATAAGTAATTAGTAAGTTGTAGCATGTTTACAATATCATTCACATGCTGAAAAATGAATCACGGCCTTTTAAATGGTTGTCACTCACATCGCAGGAGGGGATGTCGTGACAGTCTATTGGAAAAGCGGAGATTTTTTTTTGGGGGGGGGAGTGTTGTTGGGACGAGTCTTTTCGAGTTATCGAAGCACGATAACCAGTGGCTAACTATAAACATAAACCAATCTTGTCTTTGACACACGTGGGCGGATGGTTGATTGCTCCCAGCTATAGATTCATTTCAATTTCGCCTTTTCAATATATGGTTTTGATGTGTTTTTTTCAATTTTGATTTCGGCAGGGAAGATATGAGAAGTTGTATCCAATTTCGGGCCTTATTTTGTGGCACAAGAGTCTGCATCCAGTATATTATTAAAAGATAACCCAGTACGCTAACAAAGCGGATATTACAGTAGGTTTTCCTGAAATTCTTGATCTCAGAATAGCTATAATTCACATAACTAATGTCTTTGTGAATTGAAAATCATGATATCATTTCATAAAATTGTCCAAAACTAAGCTATCACAAATAGATTCTATCTTTTAAGTGTTAAATTCTTTATAGATAATTTAAATCTTTTCAATACATTAGAAATCAAAAGTTGAATTACCCTCACGAAATATTATCTACAATTTCTAGAGATGAAGATTGTTATTTAATAACGTATTTCAGTGTGGATGAATGTTGTACAAATGTTATCGTTCTGTGTATAGAATGATACAGATTATGAGAGTGAGAATAATCCGATATCTCTGGCCAGACATTCAGCGAGGTTTGTTTGTTTGTTTTTAATATCCGTATCCTAGTTTCTTTGCTAGTACCGAATATACCGTACCGAAATACATTGTATTGATCAGATTTTTTTTATAGTTTCCGATTCAATTTGAACTTATACTCTGTCTGTGTGTGTGTGTGTGTGTGTGTGTGTGTGTGTGTGTGTGTGTGTGTGTGTGTGTCTGTGTGTCTGTGTCTGTCTGTCTGTCTGTCTGTCAGCCTGCCTGTGTNTCTCTCTCTCTCTCTCTCACTCTCTCTCTCTCTGGATTAATGGAAAATCTTGTTTTTTTTAAGAGAAAATTAAGCTTCGACCGTTAGTAGCTTCTTAATAATCAAATCGTACATAATCACATTATAACACTTTTAACAAACAATACAATTTTAAAATAATCTCTAATATAAAATAAATAAATAAATTTATACCTATGTACATATAAATAATTGTTACAAGGTACTCTTTGTATGGAAATTAAAGCTGATTTTGCAGGCGGTTTTTAAGTCCATTCAGGTCTTTATAATAAAAGAAAACATTTTATGAACGATTATAATTATTATAAAATTATATGATACTATAAATGAAGACTTAATGTAAGTATAATGTAATTTATTTAAAAAAACGTTGAATTTTGCTGACATATTAGATTTGATTCGAATTATTAATAGCAAAGGCTTTTTCACTTTGTCATTTTATCAATATTATTTTATTAAGCTTCTTAAAATCATGTGTATTTCAATAATGAAATGTAATATTCATCTTTTTTTCAGCATTTAGTTTTAATCAAAATTTCTCCATCGAGTATATTTTGGTGTTAAAAGTTTGACTCGTTTTTTTATGGCTGTTGATATATTTTTACAATATTTCACGAGACAAAGTGTTTGTAAAAAAATTAATTAATTTTAAAAAATGCATTACGAATTTATTAGCCTGTCAGCTGTTTATATAGACGCAATAACTCAAAGTTCAATAAGTGATAAGATAAAAAAATGATATAACACGGACGAACTTTGGAGAAAGATTAATTTGCCTAATCCGCCGTGGTAACTTAAATTTTAAGAAAAAAAAATATGCTAAACATTAACAGAACATTTATTAACATTAATCTATGTTAATTGCCGGTCTCCCTCTCCTTTAATGCTGCTTAGTACTACTTATAGGATTGGGCTATAGCTATCGGGCCGGATTAGCTTGCTTAATGAGCCGGAAACGCTGGGTTTTACTTTTTGCTAACAACTTGGGATTTCCATTTAGCGCTCAATTCACGGCGGAGCGGTTACGCTAAACCCGCATGACCGAAGTGTCGTGCGGTCATGGTTCTTCGTTCAGCCTGGACATTCTATTTTTGTATTTATTAATAATACATTTATTTGTGTTATATTTCAAAGTTTCTAATAAGCTTAAAAATCTCTCCGGTAAATTTCAAGATCACATTAAAACACAAGACGATTGAAAAGAATATGGAAAAGAGACTTTTTAAATGATTAATATCATCTTATTTATTATTGCAGAGCGGCTGTCAATGTGTAGCTTTCTTTATAACGCCTGTAATGTTACAATCACAAATTGAAATTCAATCTGTTCATTGTACATAATACATATATAATTGTTGATAAAAATAAATGAAGTAAAAAAAATACAAAAGACAAACTAATAAATTATTATGCAAAATACGATATCTCGTACATAGTACATAATATTCAATTAGCTACTAGACAAATTTAGGTGATCACCTAATTATGTTAAAATGATGCTTGGTAATAAATTATAGGTAGACGAATAAATCCCAGCAGGTTAATTTTTAAATAAGTAAATAATTACAAAAGGTAATGCTTAATATTGAATTAATAAATCTGTACTACACAAAACACAGAAAATACTTTCTTTTTCTTTTTTTTTGAAAAACAACAGAAATGATTTTAAATAAAATAAAATGGGACGAACAAGCATGTTTTTTAGAAATAGGGCGTAAAATATTTGTGATATAATTAAATAATTTTCTTTTGTTTGATAACTTAGGTTAAATGGATTAAATAAGTCCTACATAATTTAAAAAAATTGATAATTTCACTATTATTAATATTTTTTTACTGAATTGTTTATATATTGTTCAAAAAAGGTCTGCATTTTGTAGTAAACCGAATTAGTTCTAACCTTTTAAATTGTGTTTGTAAGTGTTTATTTTTTTAAAACTATGATGTTTTTTGCATATATTTACAACAGAATTGAATAATTATCATACATTTTCTCGTAAATTTTTGTTATTTATGATTTTCTATAGAAAAGAGGCAATTTACCATTCATTTCATATTATTAAGCACCTCTAAAGTGAAATCCATTAAAAACGAAGAGAATGGCAAACAAATATACTATACGTCAAATATACTAATTCGAGACTCTGCGTTCATTGATTTGGCGTTAAAACGTTTATAACCATTCTATTACAAATTGTATTAAATTTATTGTCTACTGCACAAAAATACCTCTTATCAATTGAAACGGCACATATATAAACGCATAAATTTAATTTTGACGTTACAGGATTAACCGATCAAAAACAGGTTTCCGATTTGACGCTAAAACAACGAATTTATTGTTAGGTTTATAAAAATAGTGAATCATTGATCTTTTGCAAGAAAGTTGTGACAAAATTGTATCTCTTTTTATTAAAAAAAATAAATATATTAAAAAAATCCGCTTTAGGGTGTTGTATGTAATTGCATAGTACATTTGTTTTCATTATTGTTCTACAGAATTAAAAAATAATCGTTGTTATATAAGGAATAATTATGGAGAAAAGTATATCGAAATTAATTAGATTTCGTGGCCCGATTGACCAAATAACATGTTTCAATTAATTAATCTTTATGTAAGATATTGGTTGAGAAAAAAATGGCAAAAAGGAGGGAAAATTCGAAAGGTTGGGTCGAGATGGGAATTCAGTGTCCGAGAGGATCGAAGTCACGATAGCTCAAGTGATTAGAGCGGAGGCGCATTGAGCCGAAGATCGTGGGTTCGAATCCCGCTCGTGACACTGACTTTTTTATCTCAACCAATACCTTACATAAAGTATATTGAAAGATGAACATCGTTTCCCTTTTCAAGACAAGAGATTTATTTCCCATTGCTGTCAATAATAATATAATAATAATTAATCTTTGTTTCGCCATAATGAAAAATACAAAAGATAATACAGTTTTTTTGTATTCAAAGTCGAATAACAAAAACAATTTAGGACTTAATTATAAAAGTAATTTTTTATTAGACCAATACGGCCTGTTTTCCATAAGTGTAAGCACTTGTAAATTTACGTTATAAAAAAATTATCCACCAATTCCTTCTGCAATTAGAAATTGATAATTAGTTTTTAACAAAAATACACCTAAAAAGTAAATCCCTTTACCTAGAACCCACCTACATCCACGTTAGTTATTTATTTTTCCTATTTAACTATGACAAACTAAGTGTCTTTCAAACAGTATAAAGGATGGCAAATTGTGAGTTAATGACTTAAAAACATTATTCGAAACACTTCAAAGCTCATGGGACTACTTTTTAATTTAAAAAAACATCGTTAGCTTTTTAATTGGATTTTGGAGACAGTGGACAAATGTAGTCAAATTTTGCCGGTTTGTTTCTTTTGGTCCTGAAAAACGGGTTTGTCCGGGCCAATTCCGTCGAAGTTATGCGAGACCCGGTTTGGATTGGAAATCAAAGTTTTTCCCTTAAGGATACGACAGATAATGGATTCTTGACACGAAGATTTCCGCTCCGGGGCAAAGTTCCGATTGCCGGATAGATTTTTTTAACGTTCCAACCAGGCTGTGAAAAGTTTACGCTATGTCTATTATAATTTATTCACAGTAAAACAAAACCCTGAGATTTATGTGTAAATGGAAGCCTTTGTAAGTGAACACTGCATATTAAGATTAAAGAAAATGTTCATATGTTAAAAAAACCACTTTTTTATTAAATTCACCAATCTTTCTCATCACTTAGTCAGGAACAGTAGACAATTAGGCCGGCCCTATTTGACCTGGGCGGATATCGAGGTAAACAACTACCAATTTGCTGGGTCGACAATTAGATTATTGCACGGGCCGGTGAAAAAGTACGTAATTCGTTAAATTTACAGAGTTTTACTGTAATAATTTAAGTCAAAGGATAAACCGTCAATGTTGTGGGAAAAAAAGCCAAAAATCGTAAACTTTTGGTTTAACCATGCTGTTAACTTATACAAACAAGGGGGTGGAGTTAATTCCTTCAGGGAAGATAGATGCCTCCAACCCCCAGGGCCAATTTCTTCTACCTTATTTCACCGAAAAAACAACCTTGGATAGGACATTTGACGTAATAGACTCTAACATCTGTAAATTCCTACCAACGAGGAGGAGGGTTTAGAAGGAAATTTGTCCCAATATAAAAAAAGTTGTTAGTAGTTTTATGTTATTGTTTTATTAAAACGGTTGAATTATACAGGTCGTCTTTTATGGCTCATCATTAAATTTTACTATTCATTTAACATTATATGGCATATGTTGAACAAACGAGTTATTATATCTTCAAAACTGATCAAAATACTGGTATGAAAAATTTATTTTCAGTCTTAGCGTGTCTAACCTTTTAGTGCGCTTCTTGATCTTGTTGATTACAGAAAATATCTATTTGGCAGTAACACAGCAAAGATAGGCAGGCCAAAATGATTGTAACAACCATATTACAAGTTCTTCAGTACTCGTACCCTTGAAGAAATCTCACAATTTAAAGAACAAATTGTAATGAATAATGATTATTGGATTTTTCATTTTTATTTGCTTTTTTATGGCAAAGAAAAACTTACATAAACAGATTTTGAGATTTTCTGTTTTGAAATATATGAAATGAAGCATGGTCTGCCTAGTTTCGCTAGTTTTATCTGCCCGACGCATAATTTCGCAAGGTAGGGAATGTTATTCTTTAGCATGTTACAACAAGCTGTTATACAGACCAGGTCGGAATCGACCGACTACGCTGTTATGTGAGGAATGTTTGCACTTTGGGCTGGAAAAATTTATATGTGAAAGTACGGTGGGGTTTATTTTAAATGAGTTTTTCGGCTGGACACACACACGGGTTTTGCGTGACATTCGCGCATCATCAGTTTAGTGTTACTTATAAATTAGGCTAGGTTAGAGTTAGAGATGAGTCAGGTTATGCTAGTGACGAGTTAGATGTGGTTTGGAAGGGTTAAGATTAGGGACGGGATCTTGAAGATGGGGCGGGTTAGTTTGGTAATCGGCTGAAAACGATACTTCTACCCACAGATTTTCGCAGTAGTTCGGATTTCGAGTTCTAAAAGCTCATCGCTAGACTAAAATCCACAATAACGTTTTTCAACATAATTTATAAGAGGAAGGAAGTCACGATAGCTCAAGTGGTAGAGTAGCGGCGTATTTAGCCGAAGGTCATGGGTTCGAATCCCGCTCTTGACACTGTCTTTTTTATCTCAACCAATACCTTACATTCAAAGAATATTTAATTGAAAGAAGTAACTTGGTCAATTGACCACTTAAATATAAATGGATTAATAATTTATGGAACCCATCATTACATGAACTTGAAACTATCTGTTTTTATGCCATAATTTTAAAATTCGGCTCTGTAAGAAGTACTTCATGATTTCTATCAATAGTTGTAAACCTAGACGACAAAGTGAGAAAATGAGAACAATAGTTATATTGCACAATGTAATTTCCGATTGACTTTTCGAACTTTGAGTTGTTTGATCATACAACATTCAAATTACGTTATATTAACATTTCTAAAATGTAAGATAGTTAACTTACTTGTAAGCTAGTCAAGATAAATAGTAAAAGCAGATAGAGCTAACTTATTTTCCGTATTGACATCGAAATAATATTGGCCTGGAAGCTTTTAATTCTGCGAGAGTCTGATTTATAAAAAATTTAATCACTAAGTGAACGTCGCGGCCGGTTATCTCATGAGAGGATTCCTCTTCTCACGATAATTCTCAGCTCTTATCGCTATCTCTACGGGCATGGAGTGCTATTATAAGCTGTTTGTAATCCCTTCATGGAGGTTGGAAAGACTCTTTACCACAGCAGAATCTCATTAATAACAGTTGGCTTAGGGGTGACTACACCTGAGTCATTTGTTTAATTAAACGTCTGTATACGCATTTCATGCAGTGCAATTCATAATTTGAAAACTAGAATGTAAACGTTGTAATGCATGTGAACCCTTAATATATGACATTTAACCAGATATTTCCTCAATTTCCCCTTGTACTCCCAACTCCAATACTTCATGAAATAGCTGACTTTTGTAAGATCAATTCATTCATGAATTTAACTATTTTGGATAAAAACCTGTTTTGATTATTTTAGGAGAATAAGAGTAAAACAAAATCCCTACTTCATTTGGCTTTTGTTTTTATCGTCTTATGCCAAAAGAATGTCTGGAAATAACAAAATCAACGCTGAGAATCGAACCTTTGATGCGACTGTCGTCTTATTCCCTCATTCGCCCCTTACCGTAACAACTTAGGTATTAGTTATATGAACGTAAATTAATTGGTAGCAGATAAATTTTAATATGACTTAGTATAGGCCTAACAAGTAGACCGAAATTTGATCGTCTTTGATCACCCTGGTCTATCTTGCTGGTTAAGTCCTTTTATTTTGCACAGAGACGAAAACAGACTAATGAATAATAGTTTGGGTCTATTTTCTTGTAAACAACATAGCCAGGAAGTAGGTAACGAAGTCAATTTTCAAAAATTATTTTGTGATCTAGTTGATTTTGTGGATTGTGAATGAAATGTTGCATATTGAAATAGAATAAATTATGCAGAAACATATCTTTAGCACTTGTTAAAGGCAAAGAAACACATTTTACCCAAAAAAGCCACTGAATATAGCCAATTAGTAAAACGCGTTTGACAGACAAAATCATTAAAATCAGATAGACCAGAATGATCAGTGAATTTTTGGGTATTACTTCATAGTTTTTCTTGGGTCAATTTTTTTACATAAATATAAAACTGAATACCAATAAAACCGCGGATCTGTTGGCTCTCTCTCTCACCGCCAACTCTTCGATCAGCTGGTCCGAACCGAGGGAGAGCTTTGTACTGATGCACGTCTGGATGATCTTGATCGGTGTCATAAGTGATTTGACTTTTTCCCTCCTCCTCTTAAACTCGGACTCGGAAAGGGTATCGCCGCTACTCCTGGTAATCAAATTCACAATAGGAATACAACGGTGACATAGGTTAGAGAGTCTTGCCCGGCGTGTAATTGGGCCCATTAAACCGCCAGAGGATAAAGTTTTTTATTTTATTTTTGAAGCAACCAGCTCTGACAATATTTGCTAGAAAGGGACGTTTTGGAGAGTTTTTTTATCAGCGCTCAGCCAATTACCCTATTTATTTATCCTGTCCTGTTCGTTTACTTAGAGGCTGTTATACAGGATTTATATTTATAACCAAAATCCACATCTAAATTATAACCACTTAGAGCAAACAATTCTCATTATAAGGAAAACAGATTCAGTACGGATGTTTGACGTTTATACAACTAATCGTTGATCAATATCGCAGCGTGAATGAAGGAGCTTGAGAACTGACAAGTACTATCGGGTACTGTGCTAACCAGACTATCACGTTTTTTTTCGTTTCTGTTTATGTATATTTGTGTTTGTTATTTGCGTTATTTTATCCACAATTTACGAGGCCTTGAGTACAGAGAGGCTTGCAATAGGGTAAAGAAAAGAGACGGTTATCGTTCTAGTTGGTCTGACCTCTTGGCTGGAGAAACAGGAAAATAAATTAGTAGGATTAAAACGTGAGAAAGAAAAGAATAGAAAGGCAAAGAAAGACCCAGACCTCTTGATTACCAATGTAGATTGCGGCCCTAAAACTAAAAAAAAGAAAAATCGTAGTTGTTGTTATGCGACATCAAGTTCCTAAAATTATTGTAATCAATACAACACGTAAAAATTATTGTGTCGAAATACTTGTAAGTTGTCACTACTAAAGCATAGTAAATATTGCTTTTTGTCACCTTTCTTCTGTTTGAATATAAAGATGTGTATTGTTCATTAACTTTCTCATGTATAAATGAGAACAAACAAAAAACTAGCGATATATCGACAGATGGTAAGTAATGGAGGTTTATGAATTATTCTCGATATACAAATCAAACACATTGTTAAGTGGTTGAAATTAAACTTCATCCACCCACACTTTAAGTGAAGAGGTAATGGTACAAAACTAGGATCGTTCTGCTGGTGCTGTTGAAGCTTGATTCCATACATTTCCTAGCTGTTAATTTCTTCGAGCTGCTTTCTGACCTTTATCTTTCAGACTACCACCTCTTTCAAGATATCGCCCCATTTGTTATGACAAAAATATTTGATCAATTTAAAAAAAATTTAATCAGAGCTGTCTAAAAATGCACACTACAGTACACTTCTATCGAATATTAAGCAATATTCATTATATATTAAATATGAATTTAAAAAAATTACGCTATACTAGGCGAAATAAAATATATAGATCAATTTTAAAAAGTGGTGTCAAATGCACAACTTTTTCCCATTTCAACCTCCTCCCCTATAAAAAAATTAGACAAATTATGGAAATCTAATTGGAACCGTCGGAGGAGGAGGGCGAGTCGATTTGCCTTTAAATGCCGGGTGTGGTTCATCCCCGTTTCGTAGTTGTAGAAACCAAGTTGTGGTATAATTTATTAGCCTGTTGATACCAGGGCGTGAATGGGATTGGACGTCCACTCAGTCAAACCTAGACCTCCTCCCTCATCTGCATGTATTTTCCCTCGGGTCATATCTCGTTAATTATTCACTTAAAGGAAATCGAAATTAATTTAAATGTAGGCCTGATGAGAGATTTAAGATGGGGAGAGAATTGTAAAACAATTAATTAAGGTTTTTAGTTGAGATGAAAAAAAGTTAATGGCACGAGAGGGATTCGAACACACGACCTTCGGCTTGATACGCCGCTGCTCTACCACCTGAGCTATCTCAACCTCGATCCACTCAGACATCAACTCCCCATCTCAACCCCACCTTATGAGTTTTCCCTCCTTTCGCCATATTTCAAATGTCGTGTAATCGGTTTGGATTCTCGACGACAATTGAAATGGCGACGGAGAGCTTTAGTGAAGTGTACTTCAGTTAATTCATTAAATTCACTAATTTCGTATACAATGATGATGATAAAGGAAAATTGTGAAGCGAGGGTTTTATATCGACCAAGCACTGCCCTATGTCTTACTTTTTCGTGGTCCGCTTGACCAATTAAACATTACAATTAATTAAGGTTTTTAGTTGAGATGAAAAAAGTAAAGAAAGGCTGCGTCAACACACAAGCGATCTTACCAAAAATCCAAAATAGTAACAACAGCCATATGTCCAGTATTAGAAGTATAGACCAATTTTTCACTTACGAACACTCTGGATCAAGGTATGGTCTTGAAGAAGAAAGCAAATTTAGTGACGTCAAAGTATACGTGCTCATGATTCATCGACACATTAGTTTTTACTTTCAAGGTACTCTTAGGAAAGAACTCAACTAAAACTACGACAGTACAGAAATGGTCAGGAACCTGGAGAATAAACTTCACGAAAGGAAAAAACGCCATATTTCACAGGGATTAATTTTCAGAGTTAATCAGGGAAATTACAAAATTGAAAGAAATCATTACAGTCGTACTTTAAGGTGGTCCTAGGGCCCATATACAATGATGATGATAAAGGAAAACTGTGAAGCGAGGGTTTTATATCGACCAAGCACTGCCCTATGTCTTACTTTTCCTGGTCCCTTATAGTTCAGTTTTGATTCAATGCTTTTTTTTCGGAAGTAATACGTCTGCCATTCCTGCAATTTTTTCCCGGGTCTTCTTATTACTTTAAGCTCTATTGAGCGGTTGCATTCGAATATGAAGCGGTAGTTAGGGTGGTAGTTTCTTCCTCCTCATTATATAACTTACAAATAGGGTCATCATTGAATATACCCATGTTGTGTAGGTATTTCCTCAGCTCATCTCACCTTTGAGTGTTACGCTTTCCAACTGTAGCAATGTGTTTGCGAATTTTGGTGAGGGTTTGTTATTCCATGGCACTTTTGGAGTTCGTCCACTTCTCTTTTTCTTCTTTGTAAATTCAGGGATGGAGGTGTCATCTTTGACCTTGTCGTATAAAGATTCGGTTCTGGTCTTTTTACTGTTTTGCAGATCTTCCTTAGGCCAGTTTGTCTGATTGTTCATCACAAAAGATAATATAGTCAGGTTGTTATGTTTTACGAGGTTTTGGTGATTTTGGATGAATGCACCGATTAATTTGGATGGGAACTTTTTACGTACTAATGCTTTTAGGACTGCTCTTAGGAGAATGTTTTCTCAGTGTAACCTCTTTTAAGAATTTCTACGACGAGTAGGGATTACAGATTGAAATCCCTTGGATCTCAGGAAGTAGCCTCCAGCTATACACGAGCAACCTTACCCAATTTGAAAGGTGATACTGAGAAATACAAAAATCCATAGATCGTGAAAAATTTAACTCGAAGTCTAAAAAGTATGCGCCTACTATTCACAAAAAGGTGATCGTTTAAGTAGGCAAGGTAGGGTGTACTCCCTTATCCTGAGTCTTTATTAGGTATCATGATGACGCTGGACGCTAAATAAAGCATTACAAATAAGTTCTAAAACTTTTATTGTTGTGCAGTATCTAACGATGGAGATGCAGGTAATTTTTTAGCATAGAAGGCTTACAGACGTTCTAAAATAATTTAAGCATATGATAAATGTTATGTTAGAACAATAGACCTTCAGCGATACTTCCGAATAAATTAGAACAATGAAAAGGCGAAAAAACTGAATGTGCTATTAGACAACTAGAGCTAGTTTAATGAATTGCGTGCTGCAAAATTATGTGAAATGAAATCATCACATGGTAAGCTTTAATCTATTTCTTCTTTACTGATAGTTATAAGTGTATGGTTGGGCATGATATGATGGACTTTTGATAATGTTATTGAGAGTATGACAAATACGATGTCGTTGAATAGCAAATTTAGACGATTTTGTACACTTATAAGTAAAAATGTTCAGAGATTCTGGGTTCGACTGGGCTGTTAAATTCAACCGGTATTTTAAATATACATCGTCAAAATTTGAGTCATTAATCAAACTATTTATCGAACAAAAGATAAATAAAATTGTACTAAAAAATTGAAATACGAGAAAGAAAATGAATTTTTCTTTTGTCACGTAGGATCCCTTTTCAAAAGCGCACCATGTCGATTGGTGAGTTTTTTCCACCCAACAGGCCGAAACCAAACGGATAGCATGTTTTCACCCGATCCGTAATCCATATCGATGTGCAAAACCAATTGTTCACATTAATCTACACGGGTTTTTTTCTTCAAAACCCTATCCGCGGCCTCTTTTCATTGTGTTTTTACGGCGATCCTTGTGCATTTTTTAATGCTCCCTTCGCAAAGAAACAAAGAAATAGTGGCTTCACCGGAACAAAGAATCTAACAGTGAAAAACTACATTCTTCAAAACCTTTTGTCCCTCAAGTACAGTTCTTTCAACTATGGAGATAATGACCGCTAAACTGATTTTCTTCAGCATATAAAAACCACCGAACAATGTACAAGCAAATGTTTTGTCTAGCACCTTATTGGAAGCAATTAAAGTATTACATAATTGTTTGTATGAATTAAATAATAATAACTTAAATTTACAATCTGATCTTAAAACCACATTAAACAAAATATTTTTCATTATAAATTCAATAAGAAAACACAGTCTACACTTCACGTAATTAGATAGTTTTCAAATTTATCTTTTGTTTTACAAAACTATACAATTTTACTCTACAATGACAAAGACTTTAAAAATACTAAGTAAATATCGAAAACTACAAGAAAAATTTACTTATATAATAAAATTTGCCGATTTCCTGTTGAACAATATTAAAAAAAATGCAAACGACAAAATTCAAAATAAATTAATCAGTTGTAGCAAATTGTCAAGTTCGAATTTAAGTTTGAGAACTTGCAATTAAAACCCGTAACTTTCCCATCAGCACGTAAAATAATCAGAATGAATCAATGTTGACACTGAGCTAGTACAAAAAGTGCAATCGACGAGAGAGAATTGAAAAAATAAAATAAACAGAATAGATGATGTTTACAAAGGCTGGTAGTACTGAGTTTCAAGTTAATAATTAACAATTTACAATTATCCCGGAATAAAAGAAATCTAAATTGAATTCGGTGTCTGTAAATTTGCAGCCATCCTTCATCTACTCATTCCCGTTGAAATTTTATTTTGATTAAGAGCCCTTTCCGGTATATTATTTTACTTCAAAATAAGAATAAGTATGTAAACATTGAACAAAATCTTGCCATCCGGTAAATAAATAAACTTTTCAGTTGTCAAGAAACCACAAAGTAGACCTTTAATTTTATAAACCAGATTTCGGTTCGTGTTCCAAAACTACGAAACGGAGAAGCTTAACGGAATAACACACAGACCAACCACTAAATTAAAAAGGGGTGGCAGTTAGTCAGTGGTTCAGTGGTCTTAATTTAAAATTATTTTTTACGACCACGACTGAGAAATCATTTCTAGTAAGTAGACCGTGAAATATTTTAAATGTCACTTGGTTTGCTATTTTTTAAAGATAGTATAAGCGTAAAACATAATACACAGACTAACCACCAAAGGTGGCGAGATGTTGAATGATTGATGTGCCTGACTGAACCATCATAAACAACTATTCAACCATGGTGAGAGAAGCGTTCTGACAGGATCAACTCGCCGTCCTCAGCATAAATGTTTTTTTAAATTTTTTTTATAAAATGTCTCGTTTGAAAGAACAGGACTGACAAAATAACATACTGACAAACCACCAGAGATGCTGAATAGTGCCTGACTATCAAAATCAGCGAGAGAAAAAAGCAGTCCACGATGGCCACAGACGAAGCATTAAATCACTTAGCACTCCTCAACTAAATAAATATTTTACAAAATGTCTCGTCGTTTACTTATTGATTGCTAACCGTAAACGTAAACTCAGTGGTTTAATCAATTTCTGTCATTATACAAACTTATAAAAGGGGCCCAACTGGCGAAATAATTCAGTCAAACCTTCAAAGATGGCTAAATTGTAGGACAGAAAAAATTACCAAAGCGATGAAGCAGTAAGCTTTTCAGAAGCCTGATATTTTAATCAATGTGCTCTTCTCCCAGACAAGGTTCAAAAGCTCCATACTTTTTTGGTTATAAATAAAAAAAGTCCAGATTGGTCGGATTTAAATGAATAAAGGTGAAGTTTCAATAACAAACAGAACAAGCCCAAAAGTTATCGAGATAAAGAAATCAACAAGAACAAGCATACGACTATTACGCATCAAGGTCATCCAGCAGTCTAAAATATTTTACAATATAACTCGTCGTAAACTGATTTGCTAATTGTTAATGATAGTATAAAAGTTGATTGGTATAAAATGTTTTTATACTGTTTTTCTCAATGTACAAACTTGTAAAAGGTCACAATTTAAAAAATAACACACAGACAAATCATTGAAAATGGCAAAAAACTCAGACTGATTACACTAGCGAAATGTTCATTAAATATTGCGTAATTAGCGTATTAAATTTTGTACATCCATGATGGTTTAAACTAAAATGCCTTTCATAAAAGCTATATATAGAGAAGGTGCGAAGTTTTTAATAAGAAAAAGTGTGAAAACACTGATTACTTTTAAGTATTCAAGGTTGAAATTTCAATTTAAAAACCGATCAAGCTCAGAAAGTATCGTGTTGTTTAAAACGTAGTCAAAAGCTACAGGAACGAGCGACCGCAAAGTCCGGGGTTGATTAAACAACAAGATCGACTCGCAGTCCTCAATGAAATATTTTACAAAATGTCTCGTTTTTTATTATTTGATTGTTAACAATAATGTAGACTGAGATTGTTGTTCAGTGTTCTTTTATTATTTCTCTCAATGAGCAAACTTGTGAGAGACTGAGGAAATTACACACAGACAACCCATAGAAAATTGCAAAATGTGTCTGACTGACAAAAATAGTAAATAGTATGATCCTACAATAATGATACCATTAGCTTTGCAAAACCCATAACAGTATGGTATTTTAATCAATTTTTTTAACAATAGCTTAATATTTTTAAAAAGTGAACATGTGTGGTTTTTAATAACAAAAACTGGTAAATCCTTTGTTCGTTTTAAGAAGACCATATTTAAACTGTAAATGTTTGCATAATTATTTTTATCACTGACGAAGCGACTTCATATTCTCTTTTACTGTAAAAAGACCGACAGATTTGTTTTAAAAGTTTTAAATCACACAACTCGGACAAGACTCGCTAGATCAAAAAAAGACTAATCGATACTTTAAAAAAAGTAATATCGATTTTTACAAATATATCGTCATGCCACCGACCTGTAGCCGAGCCGAGCGATTTCCCTCGTAAGCATCCTGCTCCGAAGATAGAAGAGGTCATTTTCGGAAATGAGATCGTCTAAGTATTCATCGTAATTTTTAAATTTGAGAATGTGAATCCTATCGCATTCCAGTTCGTCCGAGTCTTCGTCTCCCCTTCGCAACATGGCGGCGGTTTAAATTTGGAATTTTGATACGGGAGGCCTGAAGATCTTTTCGCAACAAGGCTATTTCAATTTTTCAAAATGTCATTGGTTCGTCGAACACATGATTGCGGATTGAAAATGTTCTTTATTTTGAATATCTGCATTGTAGATCACCATCTCCTACCAAATAAGTATGACAGACACCCCTAATTAATATGAACATCCTCGCAACAGTTGGCAGTAATTATGTAAGAACCTGAAAGGACAAATTCAGCTAAAACTTGGCACTAATAAAGCCATTTTATTCTTTATACGATCTAACTTTGACTACATTTTGTATTATGTAATATTTCAAACAAAAATGTCATTTTTTTAAAATAATTTAAAATAAAATAAAAATAACATTTCCTTAAGCTACACTTCCCTTTCATCAAGCAAATTGTTAAAATCCACTGCGTTTTCAGTCGTAATATTACCCTAATGAACGAAATATGTAAAAAAAGAGAAAAAGTTACACAAACTCGTGTTTCCTTTGAAAGTATTACTGTCAACATGGTGTAATTTTTTGTTAAATTAAAAACAAATCTAATTTAATTTTGCCGATGGTTTTCAAAGCATCAAAATAACAATGATATAGCAAACAAATGTTTATTATTTATATAAGTATATCATCTTAGTGGAGGGTTAACGTCCGACTAACGTTGGATGTCGCGTATGAAAGATTCGTTTTAGAAAGCAATTAATGTGGCTCGGCCATTTTTTTGGACGTTACGGAAGAAATCGACTTATTATGAGTTTCCTTTTTAAGTTGAAAAGTATCATTGGTTCATCTTCTTCCTGTTTTGGCCTATCAGTCGCATTTCGTCATATTCAGTACATGTCTTTCTATGGTGTCTCGCAATAGCCACGATTGTTTAATGAGCGGTAGTTTGATCCAAAGTGGCTATTTCGATATACTAACTATCAATTTAAGAGAAATTTCGTCGTTTCCCATTGCCTGTTGTGTCTGAGATACACTCGACTCTTGCTAATTCGAATTTCTTGATAGAACGAACTTCTCATCAGGTTACTTCGGTAAAGCGAAAAAATTCTGTGCATTTTGATACACGCGGTAATACGAAACATTTTCCGTAACAGGGGGAGATTAATCGAAATGGAGCCACTTCCTATTTTTATAATTTGCACTTTTCCTTTGTTACAATACATTCGTCTAAATTTCCATGTATTGTTTACTTCTTTTCAGCCTTATGTTTCCTTGAATTTTCTCTAGTTTGTTATGTTCTGCGGTAATTTCGGAAAATAATTTAAACAAAGAACGCCAGGCCACATTGAAACAAAAACCACTTGACGATTTTATTAATACTGGTAATAATGACAATTAATTAAGGTTTTTAGTTGAAATGAAAAAAAGCTAATGGTACGAGAGGTATTCGAACCCACGACCTTCGGCTAGATACGCCGCTGCTCTACCACCTGAGCTATCGTGACCTCGATCCACTCGGACATCAACTCCCCATCTNGCCCTGAAGATGATCTCAATAAAGATCGAAACGTTGGCACGATAAAGAAAATGTTTTTCTGAAACCTACATCACACCAGACCGCATCTCACCATTTCTGAATAATCAGTTCATTTTAACAGTTGATCTATTCATTATTTTTACTATGTTTTATAAATGTACAATTTAAATAATAAATAGGAAAAATGCATATCAACTCGTAACCATTTTTTTTTCTTTCCTCTTGATAATTCAAACATTTTGATAATTCGAATTATTTTTTAGGTCCCTAGGTTTCGAATTATCAAGAGTCGACTGTAGTTGAATTCTTAGTACCTGGCAGCGATGTCCTGGATTTTCCCTTGCTTCTGGATTCGAATCTCGCCAAAGCCCATGGTTCTTTAATAAGTAACGTAAAATAGTTTGACCCCCATCCACCAAACCCATCGGGTAGTTGGAGATAAGTTGTTCCGTAAGATAGGAATTACTTTACGTTTGTACAGTTTTTTTATGACTGCAAACTTGGTCTATTGCACTATTCATTATCTCGATTTTATATCTGCCGTGCCATAAATATTTTCCAAAGATTTCCTGGTACCCACCCGTTTGGAAAAAGGGTATTTTTTATTTTCATGTGAACGTTATATTTATTTTTTTTAAATTCCACAGATAGAAATATCGATTTGTCGCATAGAGCTGGATTCGATCAGAGAAAGCAGGGTACAATTAAACCGGGGCTTGTCAGAAGACCGGCCCTCGTCGTTAATTTAATGAAATAACTTCTTACTTACGTTTAATTTCGTCCAAGGGGAATAAGAAACGCCGCTAGATATGGACAGTTTTATTGGTGCAGAAAGTTTTATTGGAGGCCTGATTAATTGGGCAAAGAAGGTTTAATCTCGACAGTATCGCTCCCGGATAAACAAGGCGTTTTATTTAATTTTTCCCATCGGTTAATCCGCCCGAGGAAGGAGAAGGAATTCCTTAAAGAACCAAGGGACGGCGAATACCAGCCATTTGTTAGTACCTTTAAATCGTCTTGGTTGATTATTACCTCGGGTGATGCATCCCCTCGATTATTTAGGTGCAGGCGTACAGATCTGCCAGCATTCCTCTACTTCCGAGCTATTTATCAACGCTAACTGTTTTAAACAGGGTGTATAATTCTTTTGACGCTTTTAGCCCTTTGTTGCTGTATATAAAAAAATTCCCGCATTGGAAACGTGGCAGCGGTCTAGAAATACCTCCGAGATCAGGACCTTGTAGAATGAAATTCCACACTCGAAAATGGTGACAGATTTCAAATAATGTCCTTCTGTTTTCCAAGATTCTATTTCCTTGAGTTTTTTATTTAATTTAACAGTTTATTTATTTAACAATTCAAATATTTTAGCAGCATTATGAGCGCAGACTACAGCTTGATTTTTGTGATGCACTTCTAATTTTGTCGTATACGATCATGCTGATCCGACTATTCTCGCTGGTTTGAACTGACAGAAGCGTTTCGGCTTCCATCGAATTAGATAATGCATAATGCTATTGTTTGTCCTTGTTTTAGAGAGATACTTATTAATAGACAAATTAAGAACTTTCTAATCGGTTTCTTTCATCGTGATCCACCTACTATCGTTATTTTATCTGTCAGAAAATTTAGTTATTTAGCTTTATTCAGTATATTATTGTCTCTCGTCTGCGTCCCCTTTTGTAGAGTGATGAAAGTTGGTTTCAATTTGTATGGTTGGTTTTTTTCTTATCATCAATTTAAGACTGTATTGATTGTCTCTGACTACCGCCTACCCTTGCTGTTTCTGTTGTCATTCATCATTTTATAGATGTCTGCCTGTTGTGTTGTGCCTCGTTCCATTCTTATTTAAGAGAGTTTGGTTTTTGAGTTCTAAGGATTAATCTCGTTCCATAGTATTATCAGTCAATATAAGAGTAGTTTGATAGTTGTCTATCGTCCTTTTCCGTTGATTTGTTAAGTTAGAAGAGTTTTGGCCATCTTCAGTGGATTTCTTCCTGTTGTTTTGTTCTCTTATTTTTTATATAACGTGATGATGGCAGGATTAAATTTATGAGATTTATTTTGGCTATGAATAGTCAATTTGAGGGTAGTTTGATCGATTTATATCAACATTCCTTTTCTGACTGTTTGGAAAAATCAGAACCGTTTCGACCACATTTAATGGATGTCTTCCTGTTGTCTCTCGTGCCGTGCACATTGCTTTTGTATAATCTGATTATGGTCGGTTAAGATTTTTTTTCTGTTAGCACTCAATTTAAAAGTAAACTGACGCCATAATTGCGCCTTTGTCCACTCTGGCCCGACTATCTTAGTTGTTTAGTCGTCAATTAGCCATAACCTTAAATGTCTGCTTGTTGTACAATCTGATTATGGCTAGAGTAAATTTACGTTAATACTCAAATGGGTAGATTGATCGCATCTTTCCACTCTGGTCCGCTTATCCTCGCTGTATATACTGGCCATATTCACTAAATGTTTACCCGTTGTATCTAGCGTTCGTTCTTGTTTTTTCGTGTGCAGTAATTAAATTTTGAACAATGGGGGTCTACGTACTAATTGACAATTTAAGAGTAGATTGATCATCTCTGACAGCCTATTCTGGTAGTTTTGATCCCTCTGTCAGGTTTCGTCTTTTTTCTTTATTCAGTAAATGTCTGTCTGTTGTGTCTCGTTTTTGTTCCTGTTGTTTAGTGTTTGATAGTTGAATTCTGAGTACCTAGCTATTTCAATGAACTGAAAGATGTAAGAATAATTTGACCATAGTTTACCGTTGTGGGTGCCTATTCTCCGTTTTTTTATCCATAACAAACGTGTTTCGTCATTTCGCAATCTTTGATGATTAGGTTGTATACATTTCACAAATTTATGTACATACAACATCGAAACAAAAAATTTTGTTTTAATTCCTACTTTTACTTGAAAACTTTTCTGATTAGCGGGCTTTTTATAAATTAACATACCACGTGGCGTCGGTGGCAGAAACGGTTTAAGCATTATCACTGTATGGTAAAGGTCACAGGTTCGAATCCAGCGGCCTTGCAATCCCGATATACTTACAAATCGGATTTTTTTCAAAAACAGGCATTTCAAGAATTTATATAACTTCGTAGATGAAATACCCTTGTTTAAAAAAATATAATTTTTTCATGTTATCATAAAGTTATGATAGTGATTTATATACATGTATTATTATATTATTTTTGTAATTGTTAAAATTATTAATATTATATATAATGCTTCCTCCAGGCACTTTTTCAATGGAAAAAGAACATAAAGAAAGATGGTAAGGATTAATCGTATAGAAAGATTTAATGAAGGCATTGACAGGAAATGAAGAACACGTCATAAAAAGGAAAATATCATAAATGAGTTTTTGAATAAGCTGATGTGAACTCCTTCCTTCTGGGTTATATATCTCTCACTGAATCTATTTGAGTTGGAGCCTATCCAGACCACCTGCGGTTTACGGTTTCTTCATGGTTATCTCTTCCTCGTCTGTATTATCTACAGAATATTCTATGGCCGATTTTAATAGCTATGTGTTATTTTTATATGGATAAATATGTTGTAAGTTCAATGAAATAGAGAATGATCGGAGAATTTTTGTTAAACTATGATTAAACCTTTCAAACCTTGGCATTTAATTGGTGCTCGTTTCGATTATGGATGTCCCAAAGCATTTTTACAGTGGTTCCATGGATTCGTTTTAAAAATGATCAAAATTATCTTATTCCAAAGCTGTAAGACATGTAAGTCTTCTACTTTCGTATAAACAGTAA